ACAAATATGGACTAATAGTCAAACCTCTATACCAGATTCTACAAGATGGAAATCAACAATTAACATGGACTGGAGAAGCTACACAAGCCTTCCATCAGCTTAAGAAGGAACTGATGCAGGCACCTGCACTGGGCGTCCCAGATGTAACAAAACCTTTTTTGCTCTTTTCGCATGAAAGGCAGGGAATTGCACTGGGGGTCCTGGCCCAGCAAGTTAGACAATATCGCCGAACAGTGGCATACTTCTCTAAACAGTTAGATGAAGTGAGCAAAGGATGGCCAGGAGGTCTAAGGGCCGTAGCTGCAGTAGTACTGAACATACAAGAAACCTGAAAACTCACAATGGGACAGAAAATGACTGTTCTAGTGTCACACGTGGTTTCAGCAGTGCTTGAATAGAAAGGCAGTCACTGGCTCTCGCCCTCCAGGTTTCTCAAATACCAGGCCACTCTAGTAGAACAAGATGATGTTGAAATCGTCACCACTAACATCATAAATCCAGCAACATTCTTATCAAGTTCAACAACCACAGAGGGACTGGTGTATCATGATTGCACTGAAACAATCGAAGCAACATATTCCAGCCGACCGGACTTGAAAGATACACCACTGCCCGAGGCAGAAATGTGGTTCGCCGACGGAAGCAGCTATATGAAAGATGAAATCTGCAAAGCTGGTTATGTGATAACAACCACAGATCACGTCATTGAAGAAGAAAAAGAAAGGACATTAATATTTGGACGGACTCAAGGTATGCCTTCGGAGTAGTTCATGCTCATGGAGCAGTGTGGAAAGAAAGAGGGTTACTCACATCACAAAGAAAACAGATAAAGCACGCAGAAGAAATCTTAAAATTACTTGAAGCTGTCCAGTCACCAAAGAAGCTTGCTATTATGCACTGTAGAAGACATCAAAAGGGAATACAGACCAAGAACAAGGCGATCAATTGGCAGATCGAGAGGTGAAAAAGGCAGCAGAAAACGGCCAGGTAGAACTTGCCTCCCTAATTCCTGATGGCAAAATCATAGAGGTAAGCCCTAATGTATCATATTCAAAGGAGGACTTAAAATTAATAAAAGATCAGCAAGCTCAACGCAAAGGTAACGTATACTACTTAAAAACAGGACAAATAGTGGTACCTGAAAGAGTACTATGGAAAGTTGTACAGGTAGAACATAACAAAACTCATTGGGGGGCAGATGCATTACACAAATATCTAAGGAGACAAATTATAGGACGAAATTTATACACTACAATAATCCAGGTTACTAAACAATGCAAGACCTGCCTTCAAAATAATCCTCACACAACCAATAAAATCGAGA